AAAAACAACAACAACAACAACAGTGTAAAATTGATTGTCATTTCAAGATAAAAATTATCAAAACATCCAAGGCATCAACCGTGAGGAACAAACGGTGAACTGTAAAAAGTGACGAGGGGGAGATTCACAGAACTGAAGCCCAAATGAACAACTCACAAAAGAGACGGGACCCATTTGGTGCACATCATGCGTCTGAGAAAGCTTTTGGCAGCCTCGAGTGCAGAGGAGCGGCGGAACAGAGGCGACAGGCTGCGCATGCCATCCGTCCGTCCATCTGTCCGTCTTAGTGCAGAGAAACCAACAGCGAGAGCCTCCTCTGATTCGCCTCGCCGCCTCCAGCTGTCGGATTTCAAAGGTTCGTAATGTCAAAACGTGATGACAGTCGAGGACGCAGCTCGAGCAAATGCGCGTTGTGGCTCATCCAAGAGCTGGAAAAAAAAAGGAGGAAGGAGGTCGAACAAGTTTCCACGACGGACGAAGGAAGCGGGGCGAGACTCAAAGTGCTGAGGAAGGCCGCGGCCTGGGCGTAGAGGGCAGGACAGCGCCGAGAGGAGCGGCATGGCTTTGATTTGACCGAGCCCTGTGACCAAGAGAGGTAACTCCTGAAAAGCTTTTCAAGCAGAGTAAAGGGGCGTTGGTGAGAAACACACACACACTCACTCACACAGTACACACACATACACTCACTCCACACATTCACACTCAAACACGTACGCAGGAGGGAAATCTGTCCCTGAATGTGCCAAGCAACGGAAGTCGTCTTGTTCTGCAAACTGTTCACCGGAGGAATCCTTCGTTCCTCCTCTGATCCCAGAGAACAAGCCATCAACAGTCAGCGTGCGCGACCTTCCTCTCACTGCCAGTCCTCGTCGTCCTCGTCATCTCTGTCTGACGAGTCGTCATTGGTGCTGTCCCCGCCCACCTGCCGGGTCCCGTTGTGCCGCCGAGCCGCCAGGACGGCAGCCGCCTCGGCCGCCGCCTTCGCCGCCGCTCGTTCCTCGGCCTCTTTCTGTCGCAGCGCCGCCGCCTTCTTCTCCTGCTCGGCGTGACTCTTCATGTGAGCGCTGCGACTCTTCACCTTGTAGAAAATCCTGCAGGAGGAAGACGGAGCAGGTCAGAAGTGTTTTGATGGAAATGTTGTTACGAGGAACAGAGTAGAAAAGAAAAAGCAAAGAAACTAGCCGCACATCCGCACCTGTTTGTTTTCATTATAAAACTAGAACGACCTCTGTCCACAAAATGTAAACAGGAAGCAGGTTGTCTACTCTGCAGCTTGTTGCTTAGTTACAGAAAATTCCATAAATGAAGCGGTGAAAAGTTGGACTGACGACGAGGTCGTGGTTTGTTTTATTTAAATTTGCCAACACCTCTGCTCAACAGCGTTGAAAGTCGAGTCGTGACCATATAGAAACAATCAGGAAGTGACCGTGTGACTGTGTCATCGTTTTAGCCTCGTGCTGACTAATGATTCATTCTGCCTGAGCAACAGTTCAAAGCCTGGAGAAGTTCCGTTTACAACTATGAGACAAAAGTCAAACATGTTGACATATAAAGAGACTTGACTCATTAACAGGTTAAACAGATCAAAGTCAAATGGAAGTGAAATGATCCTATGAGTTCTACACATGTGCAGCCACGTGAACCGGGACAAACTTTTCTGTATCGTCTGAACCCTGTGACGACTGTACGTGGCTGACAAACCTGAGCGGACTTCCTGTATCGGTACTCATCAGACTCTAGAGGTGGTAGATCTATAATGAGCACGCTCTGAGCAGGGGAAGTATTTAAACTGAGCGTTTAGTTCTTGTCATGTCACTGGGTAGAGTCGCATCGACGAGAGGTGCGATGCTCCGTCTCTGCTGGGCTTCTGTTGCTAGGACACGGTTGGCAATAACAGGCCTGGTCTTGCCGTGCTGTTGCTTAATCAAAGCACAGCAGACACCATGAAACACTTCCACACTTTTATTTACCGATAAGTGGACAACAGCAGGAGCAAGGGTTCCTGTAGGAATTCTGCATTTTACATGTGCACAGTTCAGTGTAAGGCTGCTCCTGTAACTGAAGTAAGTTCTGTCAGCTCTCCAACAAGTAAACAGAGTCACAACAGCGTCTCCAACACGACAACAGTTCTCTTCACCAACCTGCCACATTTCTTGCAGGGGAACTCTCCCTCCTGAGCCGCGGAGCCTTTGTTGACCGTCGCAGGGGTCGTCCGCCGCGCGCTGTCATCGTGGCGCTGTTTGGAGGCGGGCGGATGAGGGGGGTGGATGACCCTGGACAGAGGCTGCTCCCTCCCCACGTCCTCCTGGCCCTTCATGATCAGGACGCTCCCAGGCTGCACGCACAGTAAAAACCAGAGAGGTGCAGTTAAAAACAACAGCTCGAGTTTAACACAGTCACTGAGAGCAATTAGGACGAAGATAATGAGCCTGAAGCTATTTTTCAATCTGCTTTTATGTCGGATAGTGTTTCAGTGGCATGCAAACGTGTGCCAGTAAACAAACACATGGACACATAGTTAAAGTACGCAGATATAAATGCCTGGCCTGGAACTTACAACAACAACATGTGTGCATGAAATGGTGAAAAGCTGTGGAAATACCAAGGAAAAAGATTTCTTGTTGAGTCATTGTTTACTGAGGGACATAATGGGGAGTTGCACAATCCAGAGAAGCTGACATCAGCCAAGTTCTCCGCTCTGAACTTCCAGCAGGGGGCAGCAAATCCAACATACGTCCACCAGGACAACTGGGGCAGAGTTCAAAAGGACACAAGTTTGAAGTGTGACTAGGACAACTGAGGATTCTCCCAAGGGTCAAGTCACGCTCCTCTGAAAGTCTTCTTTTTTTTTTCTTGCTTACTTTGCTGTGGAGGCTTAGGAACGTTATTTTTGTCCTGCACGGATTTGCACTTTTTGTCTGCACTGGGGAACTAGTCCAAAACATCTTGCAACATCTTTACTGCAGAAACAAAGAAATAATCTGTCCAGCTGAGAATTACTGTTGTCGGTGAACGTGACGTGATCAGGAGCTATCATAGTCACACATTATTTTCTCAATATTCATGTTTTATACAGGAAATAAAATCAGTGTATTAAGTAAAAAAACCCCGGACAATGATAATGGGACCTACAGCGTCTTTCTTTTTCTTAACTGGTGCATGAATGAAATCCAGCCTTTGGTCTCGGTTCCTTTACAGTTATTGTTTCTTGATCATTTCACACTTACGTTCTCATTTGGCTGCAGTGAGTGTGTGACTCTGGTGGAGCCGACATCCTGTTTCCTGTCAGCTGACCCTTCCCACTTCCTGCTGTCCTCCTCCCGCTGGGGCTCCAGTCTGTGAGAGACCTGCAGGTCAAGGGAGAATGAACTAATAAGACTCTGGGAGAGAAAGCTCTGGAGCAGATAACTCAGATATACGTAAGACTCTGAAGAGTGTTATACATGTGTGTTATACATGTGTGTTATACATGTAACCTTTCACACGGCTGCTTCCTTGTAAAATTTGCTTTTTTAATTATATGCAGTAAATGTTGCGAGAGACGTTTAAAGATGTGAACGTTTCGAACTTGTTACTATATAAGCACGTAGCTTTTGCACAGTTACCATGACAACCGGCAAAACTGTACCTGCAATGTTTCCATGGTTGAAAGAAATATCTGCATCAGTTTTATTGCCTGAGATACAAAATGGTGGAGTGTTTTTATTTGATAAATGAAAATCTGAGCTGGCTTTTCTTGTTTTTCTCTCTCTGCAACAGAAAGTCGGTGGTTCAATTCCCAGATCCTCCAGTTTGCGTGTCTAAGTGTCCTTGGGCTCAACACTGAACCCCAAATTGTCCCCAGCGTGAGAAGTTGATATGTGAAGTAAACTATTTTGATTGGTCCTGATCACTAGAATAGTACTTTACACTGTAAATGCAGTCTCTAGCGTTACTACAGTACATGTAACATTACATTCAACCGACCTTCTGGTCTGCCTCCTCCTCTGTGGTTCTGCTCTCCAAAGGCTCCGCCTCCCCGTAGATCAGCGTCCCGTTGCGGCCGATCTTAACGTGTTTCTTGTACGTGTAGTAAAACTCCACACACTGTGCTACTGTCTTTGTGGTCACCTATCAAAAACAAACACACACACAGACACACACACTGTTACTGGAGTTTTAAGTAGCTACAACCACAGTCATGTGCTGCACGTGAGGAGCAGGAAAATACATAACTCTTTGAACAAAGAACGTTAATTGCAACTGGGACTGTAGATTATCAGTTGTAATGTAACGTGCAGATTATTTTGTTTTATCTTTAAATTACTGTAAGATCATCAGTTCAGACGTACGAAAAAAAACAGCAGCAAATGCTTCCATTTGAAAAGCTGACATGGTAAAATGTGAAGGCACTTATTCAATTATCAAAACAGCAGATCTCTTCTATTGATCTACTTTCACTCCTCTAATTGAAAAGATCAAATTGCAGTTTCTCAAATGACAAAGGCCTAAAGCATATTCATGAATTAAACTGAAACTCTTTAATTTGGTGGACTGGCAATTGAAGACTGTGAAACTTGATTTAATTTGGCCGCGGCCATGCTCAGTGAAGTGGTTCGGATAAGAACATGAAATAGTTTTCCTAAGCGGTAATTGACTGTGACACAGCAAATGATCAAATGGGAAGGAAACATTGTTCCAGAGTGACTGGATTTCCATTTCCCCGCCCCGCCAGAGGGAAGGAATGGATGTCATCAAGTGCTCACTGTTAAACTGGGACGTTCGAGAGTCGTAAACATGGCTAGAATTAAGAGTTTTTTTAATTTTACAGACCTTTTGTTCGTTTGAAAGCTCACACGTACCTGTTTCTGCACCATGAAGAAATCCTTCTTGTACGTGGTGATGCCTTTGTTGAACTGGCGTCTCTCAGCTGCCGTCCAGCTGTCTGATCCTGAGGGAGGAGACGAAGACGACAGAGAGACAGAGGAGGGACAGATGCGGAGAGAGAGGTGCAGTGTGTTAGTGACTACTTTAATTACATTGTGTGTGTGTGTGTGTGTGGGCCCAGACAAGTTCAGTCCAACCCCCCCCCTTGAACCCACACGTTCACTCAAATCACTTGATTAACAATGCTTTTCCTGTCTTCTGCCCGGGATTAACCACATACAGTGAAAACCCCTCCCCATTCCCCTCCTTGCCTCATCATGCTGACCCTGACAATCCTCCACAGTCCCCCCCACCCACCACCACCCACGCCACACTCTCTCTGCTGCAGCTGCCACAGCTCAGAGGCAGGGGCTTTGAGATAATTCATCACTGTTTGGTCACAATAAGTCAGAAACGCTCTCTCAGATTACGGATGTGTTGCACAAATACAAATACAGAAGTTAACTGTTTGTTTCATTTGCTCTGAACTTCTTTGAGCGCCAGAGGGGTGGAGTTTATCAGTTAAGGAGATAAGGAAGCAAAGAAGTTCTGACACCGACAAGTTCAGTCAACGTTCTGTGACTGGTAGTTTACTCGTCAATCTAGAGCTTTAATTAACAAATGCAATCATTATCAATGGATCTGCTGTCGATATCGATAAAGAATGTCCAAAATACTTAAAAGTACGTTTTTTCCATCAACGTAATGTCACATCAGACTAAACAAACCTGGAATTTGGGAGCATTTGCTATTTCTTTCTTGAAATCAAATATCTAAACAGTTAAATTTCTCTTGGTCAATAAATTGCAACTTGTTTCAGCTGCAAATACATCTCATCCAGTCACAATTAAAGAAAACACAATAAAACTGAAACACCCATTAGTTCTGAATTCATGTGACTTGCCTGAGTAGTGGTAGTCTGTCAGATGATGAGACTTGGGGAAAATTGGATTCCTCAGCATCAGGAGCGACAGAGCAGCCTGAAAAACAATATTTCAGATGTGAATTGAAAATGAGGAAACTTTACGCATATTAACTGCACAACAGTGACTCCTCTGAGCCTTTATGCAACAGGACGCTGCTGCCAGACCAGCTGACTGTGGCTTTGATTCTGCTTTATACACCTAGAGAAGAAGAAAAACACTGAGCCATGAATCTCGCAGGTCACTGGAGAGTGAGATAACGATCGCTCTCATTTTCCTGCAAGTATCAAGTACCCGGGTGCATCATATTATGATGATGATTCGCCATCTGGCACTGTCAAAAAAAATGACTTTGAGGTGTTTGAACGGTCTCACTGAGCATAGATGTTGCATGTAACTGCTGCACAAAGGCAGCAGTTAGAGCTGGACTGCTGCAGAGAGTGGGTGCTTTGACAACCCCCCCCCCCCCCCTCGTAGTTTCCTTGACAACACTGGACCAGTGCTGGTTGCTAGGGCCTGAAATCTTGCTGCTTTCAAGTACGGCTAAGAAATATGTGCTAACCCGACCACATGCATGGAAACCAAAATACGTCTGAAACAACAATATGCTGCACAATGCTGTAGATTTCACCTGGAATCCTGGAAGTAGAAAAAACATTTCCCTCCTCAAGTTAGTGACATAAACCATTCTATACTCATATTGTCAACCATACCTGCCTGTATACTTACAACTGTCTCTATATGCATATATATTTCAATATGTCCTCATAAACAATGCACAAATACAGCAAACATTCTTGTGCAATCCTCCTTTACTTTTCAGAATTTAGAGCTTTTTTCCATGAAAAATAAATTTACCTATGGATCAATTTAGAAAAACATTTCTTGACAGATAGTTCATCTGCCTCCCTCACACCGCTCTTTGACAGCATGTGCGGCTCCTCTGCTCCACATGCAGCAGCATCACTCTGCCTCTGGCTACATTTACAATGGTTTCACAGTCCCAGTCATCTCAGGTCGTCTCAGAGTTTCAGTACAGAGCAAAGTGAAATTCTGCATATCAGTCACTGTTGTTCACTAATCACTCAGAGCTCAGATAAGGTTACTGGAGAGGCAGCGAGTTAAAGCAGGAAGTCAGAGGCATGTGCACTGCATCAGCCTGATTACATTAAACGTAACGTTTACACCCAGCCGGTCATTCATCATGTTTCTCCTTTCCCACGTATCGTATTTTTCTAATTGCCACCTGCATGTTTTCAGTGAGAGAGCAAGACATGAACAGCGCCTTATCACTTTTTGTTTTGTTTTTTGTCCTGGTTGGACTTGGATTGAATTCTTGACCAGGAAATCAAGATATCAGGTTTCACCGACAGGAATCAAACTGTCTAGTTTCATAGATTTCGGTGAACCCTTAACCTGCTTATGGAAACCAGCTTTAGCACACATACACACAGACACTTGTGCAGAAAGTAAACCGTAACCCAGTTACACTGCAGTAATGTGTTTCTGTCCAGGTACAAAGCATAGTCATATAATTCTATGACGACTCTCACATACGTGACTAATACAATCATGAGTCAACTGTACCTCACATTGTGAAAACAAAAAAACGTATAAATTAAAAATACTATAAACTATTGCAATTTTGATCCATCATTCCATCAAGGTGGGGATAAAATGTTTAACATGAAGATTTCATTGTTTTTCACGAGTCAAGTTAATCTTTAAGAGAACAGCAGGTTTGTGGGTTAGAAGGAAACGTATATAAATAGCTGTGTTTGCTGAACACAAGCACCCATTCATTTTTCTTTTTAATATTGTGAATCCCTGCCCCCGGCCGGTCAATAAGGATTGTTCTGTCACACTCACCATTATGTCGCCTTTGCATTCGTACAGACAATGGTGAGCTAACTCCTGGTTGGTGCCTCCTCCACACAAAACACTGGAGCAGGCCAGGTGCATGAGATCTTCCACTGAAAGAGACACAGATCAATTATGACCTCTGTTATTATGTTGCATACAATGGTGACAATGTTTTATAAGTTTTTAAGAGAGAGTGAACATTCAAACTGTACTTAACAGTATAAAATGTGTAGTTTTATGTGATTGATTAGTATTAGTCAGCACAGGTAGTATAGTCCAATAGACGCCATCACACCCAGACCTACAACCCATGTTGACAGTGTTTCAGTGGGTTCTATTTTTCAAACACTGTTGGGCCTTTTTCCCATATTAAAAAAAGTCATTGCATCAGCTCGATCATAAAATGTTGAAAACATATCTGAAGTAATAAGAATAGAGATACTTCTGTATTTTGCAAACAAGGAAATGACCGACTTGAGTCTCAGACTGAATTAAAACTGACAAAAGAAACTGGTAGGCTTATATGTGAAAAAAACTACACGCCAACGACCAGTCTTCCATATGTATGCCCCTTGTATCAGGTGATGATTGTGGAATACTGTGTCAGGTATTTACTCTTACCTTTCTCATGGAAGTCAGGTTTTCCCTGCAGCTCATTCAAAGGAGACCAGACCAGATCAGCACGATGGTGATCCAGCTCGACAACTGACCGCTGCCTCAGCTCTGGCACCTCTGCCTGGTACCGCGACCCAATATTTATCCGTCTGGAAACAGGACATCAGTGTTAGCCACGGGGCTGGAGACGACTCAATTTGGATTTGATCAAACTCTGCCTCTGCTGTTACGAGGCATTTATTCACTCTTAAATATTTCAGGCAAGACACTGTGTATAAATATCAAGTGAAGCTCTGGATTTATTCCTGAGATAATGTTCCAAGCTTTTCTTTCTGCCATGATCTTTAAATAGTCACGGGGAGATTGTGCAGCCTCTCTGGCAATTCCTGCAGGGTTTTGAATTCTAGCTCGTTACACAGCTCACTTGTGCTTTCAGCATGATGAATAAAATGCAAATGCCTTTCATCATTTGTAGTTTTAAACCGAATGAGCTTCATAAATCCAATACAAATAAAAGGCTCCTGGAAAGAAAGGGCTCCGACCCATACATGCAACTCAAAGACATTTTTAAAGGGGCTGAAACCAGATATCACTGTGATGTAGTTGTGAAAATCACGTTGCATTCACACAGATAATCTCTTTCTGTCTCCTCCCTCCCCTGCATTTCCATTGGGCTGCAGGCCAGCTGACACACACACACAGCCGAGAGAGTGTGTGTGTGTGTTTGTGTTCTGGCAGCCTTCCCAAGGGAGGACGGGGTACTAAAAGTTGGAACTCTGATGCCTCCCGTTTGTTTGGGAGTACACCAGAACCAGTTGAAGCCATGATTTATGGGAAACCTCACAGGCTCGTCCCTGACTGACCACTGAGCAGCTGGCACCTCTCATGCAACAGCTTGCACAACAAACCCCCGTAAACTGCACCTCACTGTCGATAAAACTAAAAAAAATACAAATATTCATGCCCTTACACTCCCCTTCTCTGCTTTTTTCATAAACATCCAAGCTATCAAGGGCTGTGTTTACATTTATGAGGACTGTGCAACTAAATGACTTATTTGCTTTGGGTTGTTTACTTTGTTGGAATCTACTTTGCATTTGAGTATATCTGAGAATAACCTTTCAATTCAGATTTTGTTTGAGTTATTATTGTTATTTTTCTGCAGCATCCATTTGATGTATTCACGTTACATCTCTCTGTGGTGGCTTTTATTGTTAGTGGCGGAGTTCACCTGTTCAACTTCCTAAGTACCGGTACTGCACTAGTTCATAATAAAATAAAACAATTTATCCAGAATAATGTTGATGATAAGTGATTTTTAATGAGAAAGGAGAAAACAAAAGCTGGGACCATGCATGTGGAGTACCAACAGTTTAAAATGACAAAAATAAAAATGTCTGCGAAACTTTAGAAAATTCCACCTGGATTTCAGTGGAATGAAACAATGTCAATATTTTGGGCAACACCCAGAACAGACACACCAGTTACTCTTGTGTGATTCTGACCAAGTGAAGCTCAACTCCTGTTTGCTGTAGCATTAAACCATGGGTGTCCTCAATCTTAAGTACTGAATGTGTAACGTCAACAAAAGCCACACGTTTAAGATATGTGTCCATTCTTATCAGTTCCCATCTGTGTTCGAGCTCAGGCACAGGCCTAAAAAACAGCCATTCGTTTTCAAAAAGCTTTAAGGCTTCCATCTGACAGGTAATATGGAGATGTTATGAAAGGATGCATTTTGCAGGGAGACATTAGGCAGCGTCGTTAGATCAGGAGGTGGATGCTGCCACTAAATCTGACCATGGATGACAGGGCAAAAGATTCCAGTGGTAACAGTGGTGAAGGGGAGGGACCACTTTAAAGGATGGGTTTAGAATTTCAAGAGGTCTGCACTCTCTTTCAAGACATTTCATGATTCAGCCCAGTGTTTGGGTTTGAATAATTGATTGCAGAGCTACGATAATGCTGCGTGGAGTTTGAGTGGCCATATAATTTATCTGAAAATGACACACAACCCCCAAACCCAGCAGAATGTGATGATTTTTGGGATGTGGAGAGGAAAAATACTCACGGCTCGATGCTCACTGGAGTGACCTCGCTCATCGCAGACAGAACTGGGGGTGTGATGTCGCAGCTGTCTGCGGGCGACAGCAACGCAAGATCCACTCAGTGACATTATCATAATCACAGGGCTACATCACAAGCGTTATTGCAGCAACTTTCATAGTTCAGTTACCAGACGTTTATTGCCTAATGTTTGAATTTACATAGTCCAGATGTCCTGGCGATAAATCAGTGAAGTCGTATGAACTTTATTTTTCTACTTACTAGAACGTAACAGACTGCGTGTGGCCGACTTGGGCGTAGCGGGCGGCGGCAGGCCCTGGCTGCCGGCTGCAGCAGAAGACAGGAAAGTGGAGAAGTAGAGGCCCGAGCCTTCGCGGACGGGGCTGAGGATTGGCGGAGGTGTGTAAGGGGGCATGGTGAGGGGGTTGTCGGCCAGCCGTACAGGGGAGCGCAGGTGGCTCTGGTAAGGTGTGATGCTGGAGTAGATGGGCGGAGCGATGAATAAGCCCGGTTTTGGTGGGGGGATGAAGAGGGGCTCAGGCCGGGGACGCCGTTTGGACTTTTTTCCGTCGTCGTCTTTCTCCCCCTCCGTGCTGCCATTCTGGTGGGAGAAGATAATCTTGGGTGAATTTAAAACAGGGGTCTTTGTGTGCACTGTGATACATGATTTTTAATTACACATAAAAACACATACACCATCAACAACAGTTGGCTTGGGACATCAGAGAGGGAGAGAAAGAGGAAACAAGGAAACCCAGTCCTTATCTGTACCGTACATAATGTACAGTATTGCATTGCTAAACCCTGATAATCTGCCTGATCTGGGACAGGGCAAACAGTTCACCAAAGCTCCCCCCACCACTACCAACCACCAACTGAAGGACGGAAAGACAGAAATGTGTGGACGACTAAAATGGGGGCAGGGGAGACATTGAGCATGGTGGGGGGAAGGGGCAGTGTTTTAGTGGGGCGATGGGGATTTGATTGGTTGAAGGGTTCAAGGATTTGATAGCTTGAGTTCAGACAGGAAGGAAGAAGAATGAAGAAGACTGAAATAGAAGGGTATAACCCTCAATTATTTGTTCTTTGGTAAACAAGGTCCGTTACAAAATGAAATTGCAAAACTTGCTGGCACTGCAAAAAAAAAAAGACAGAACAGATGTCTGTTGTGCACCGACCTGCTCTGAGCTCTCTGACAAGGAGTTTCTGAGTGAGCGTCTCCGTGTGACAATGACCGAGGGTTGGTGGTCTGCACGGCCGAGGTCCTGGGGGTTCGAAGGCCTCGGGGGCCAGCCTGAAGCCAAGGCCGCTTCATCTCGGTCAGGGGAGGAGGGTTCCTGCCTCCTCACCGGGACAGACACGGGGATGACGAGCGGCAGAAGGTTGTCGTCTCGCTGCCGCTTGGCGTTCAGACCCTCTGATGCAGTGGGACTCCACGGCCTGTGGGGCTCCTACATGGAGAATGAAAGTTGTTTTGAAATGGATATAAAATAAGAACACATGCAAATGTGTTTCAAGAACCCTGCAAATGTATGAAATCGATCTGAAAACTTAAATCAATGTTATCTGTGTGTGATTCTTAAGAAAATAAATCCACAAGTTCCAGACTCGAAAATATTAACACTTATTGTTTTAGTCTTTTATGACTTTTAATCTAGCTTTAAAGTCATAATGTGCAATTTTGTGATGTTTCACAAAATGATTAATCCAGAGAGTAACACTATATTTCTTTAATGAAAAATAATGATTACAGTTGCAGCTTTAAACCAAGGAACAATATTACATCTTTGATCGTTTCAATTCCTGAAGGGGGTCAGTGACGCATCAAACTTGGTTATTGTCACAGTTAAAGACTGAAATGAAACAAAAATCTAAAAGACAGCTTCATCCTGTTGTTCCTCAATGCGACATTCGAAACTGCAGCTCACACACACAAGTTCATCATCAGCTTTTAGGTGACACATTTTCAAATTCAACAACTATTAAAATCCACGTGTGTAGCTGATTCAGAGAACAAAGCAACAAGTGAAGAGGTTGTAATTCCCCAACAACTTTAAGTAAATGCAGTTTAGCACAACTTACATAAAGAAAAAAACTCAATAAATCAATTTGGGTGGAGGTTAATTCATCTGGGGCAGGATGCCAAATTTAAGTCAATAGAATAATTTGGAAACTCTGCAACCTTGTTCCTCACCTGACACAAAAACTTAATGTGTAAAGAAAATTAAGTCAATACTCAAGATCGGGGTGTCAATATGAGTTCAACGACTGAGATGCATCCCGACAGAATCCATACACAGAAAATAAACTGCAGTAAAAAGCATTTCAAAATTAACCAACAAGGACACATTTTGAAATATCCCCATGCCTTGGATTGCACTGGTAGGTGCAGCTCAGACATTACATGCATGTAAAAGAAACAGTCCGGGAGAGAATTCTTCACATTTTTACTTTTAGAAACCATAATAGGTGGGCACCAGCAGCTTCAAAGCCCTCCGAGCCACCACATCAGAGGGCAGCTGTAGACAGATGCATTCTGTTGCTGCACACTGCATCTACATGGGGCAGACAGGCATGCAGCAGTGTGGCTGTGCTGGATCTGTGCTCATTATCGCTGGTGGAAAACTCCAGCCCCTGCACTAGGGTGGTGGAGGACAGATATTCTGCTGAGCACTGCACGCAGGGCAACCCTGCACCCCTCCCTGTATAGAGAGCAAGAGAGGAGGGAGGGGGCAGACAAGGCCAGGCTGGTGTTTCTCTCCTTTGATGGGATGGGGGGAGGTGTGCAGGCATGTAACCAAACACACTCTCTGTATGATCAGCTACCCATGAGGCAAATCCAGGGCGCTGAACTGCAGACACACTGACTCAGGGCTGTTTGGAAACAGGACTTGTTGCACAATCGAGACATTCAGCAGATTAAAAGTATATGACTACACAAGGCAGAGTTAAGCATCATTTATTAAGTGGTTTGTTTTTGTGAGGGCGGAAAAGTCCCAAATGAAGCTGTTTATAAAGTATACATTCACCCCGTGACAACATTCAGCATGTTAAGACTTCTTCAGCCACAGATTTCCCCCCACAAGGCAGAGCAGCTCAGTTTTTGTGGTGCACACTTCATTGGGTGTTGATTACACTCAGCATCTCTTCCAGCAACACGTTAATCACTAACAACACAAGTTTTGGCAGAATTTTCTTGGCAGCTGCATTAGGCTGTTTGTTTCAGCTCCCACTCTTGTTCGGGGAGCTAAAGTCCCAATGCAATTATACCCTGAGATAACACTAGAGAAATACATTTCTAGCTCTCACTGAGATGTTCTCAATTAAAGGCTTCCAGCATGAGCGGCAGGTTTAGATAAAAATGCCCATGTAATGATTGAGACTAAGAACATTAGTCCTTTTCTATTTAAGGTTGTTTGTTTGGTCTTTCAGCTTGAGAGGGAACAACTGAGCAGTTATACAAGCACTAAAAGGGGAAATGGCTGAACATTCTCACAGTTTCCCAATAACAAAGAGCATTTACCTTGTCAACATGTGATGGTAGAGACTCCATTTCTGAGGCCTTCTGAGCAAGTGTCTCGAGGTTGACCTCCTGGGACACCCTACGTTTCCTGCGTGTACTCTGGATGACGCCTGTCGGTGCTGCCTGGATGTCACGGGCCCCGTTCTGAGAGACCTGCAGCCCTGTTGCCGCTTGATCCGCAGAGACAGAGAGAAAAGGGTTGTCTGATGGCGCCCCTCCTTCCTTAGAGAGCCGCCGTGATCTACGAAGCTGCGCTTGTGATTGAAGCTGTGTCTGGGGCTGGGACAGGGGCTCGGACTGGAGAGGGGGCTGCAACGGGTCTGGCGACTCCTGGGGTTCAGGGGTGATGTCCTGGATCTTTGGGGGAGCAGGGGCAGAGGACTCCTGGGAGTGTACCACCACAGGCTGTGGATGGGGGTGCGGGGGTGCATTTCGAGCACCAGAGTAATAGTCAAGCACATGAGGGTTTTGTTGTTGCAACTGCTGATGTTGCATTTGCTGCTGAATATGCAGCTGTTGCTGCTGCTGTTGCTGTTGTTGCATTTGCTGCTGCTGTTGATGTTGCTGTATCTTTTGTTGCTGCTGCTCGTGCTGTATATGTTGCTGCTGTAGATGTTGCTGCACGTGCTGTTGATGCTGAATGATTTGTTGCTGCTGCATTTGTTGATGGTGCTGCTGCTGCTGTATTTGCTGCTGGATTATGTGGTGCTGCTGGCGCTGTATTTGCTCTTGCTTCTGCAGCTGCTGTATCTGGTGTGGGGGTTTTGCCTGTGTTGAGTAGTTAGGAGGGTTAGGTAGGGTTGTCCTGTTCCCCTGAAACGTCTGGTAGTAAGCTGGCAGGTGCTGCTTGGGCTGACCAAAGGCCAACTGGAAGGGCTGCAAAACTGAGCTTCCTCCTTGGTGGGACTGTTGGGTGTTCAGTGCCCCGGGTTTTAAGGATTCCTGAAAGGCCTGGGGCTGCTGCTGCTGCTGCTCCCACTCCATGCCCCGAGCCTTAACTGCATCCCTGTAGGCATCTGTGGCCCCTAGAGGCTGCTTGTCTGTAGCTCTGTTAGCAGGCTGTTGATGCGGCTGCATGCCTGAGGTCTCGTGCATCGACTTTGCAAACGCATTCTGGGTCCTTGAGTCTGTTAAGTTAACTCCACCCATGTAATTGGAAAAGTTTTGTCCCCAGTTACTTACGGGGTTCCAGGAGGCAGCTCTCTGCTGCTGGGACAGTGATGGCTGCTGCTGATTGGGCTCCTGGTGGGCCCACTTCATCGGAACAGTCTGCTGATAATGACCCCTGCTCTGGTCACCTTTATCTGGGCTGAAGATGACGGAGTTGAGGAACATGTGAGGGCCCTCTGGATTGGAGGTCACGGTACTTGCCGCCTCGCTCTGTCCAGGGTCTGAGGCAGTGGCCCCTGTGACATAATAGGACCCTTCAGGGTGTTGAGAAGTCTCCTTCATTGCTACGCTTTGTTCGTTGAAAAATGTTATGCGTTTTCCCGTCCTTTTGGCGCTGGGTTTCTGCTGGGCTGGTACACTCATGACGGGCATGAATACGCCGAACCAGCCAACTACTAACGCTCCACCAAGTGTCACTTGAATATATCCAGACAAAAAATCAAAAAGGTAGCCACAAGTTTAAGTTTAAACCGTGAAACTATTTTGATATCAGTATGAGCAGGGGCCAGGTCAGCCACAATAATCTTCTCCTCCTCTCTGAAGTTCTTTGTGACCCATCCAGAGGTCCTTAGCCTGGGGTGAGTAGATCTGAGGAGGTCTGCGAGTTTCTCTTATTCACAGGCAACACCCTGTATGGAGAAAATGGCAGAGGTCAAGCATTCAGCCGTCAGAATAAAGGGGTAGCCACAGGGGGCTCTCATTGTCATCCCTGCTTCAGCCATGTAAAAACCTGCTGTTTGCTTTTTCAACAATAGTCCTCCACTGAAAGGTATCAAGTGTGAGAATAGAGGGTAGTGGTACGTCTAAGCGGTGTCATTCACTTAGCTCACATGACACAGGGATAGGGTCCTGCATGCCGGCCAACACGTACACTAAAGTTTTTGGCATATACCATTCTTTAGGAAGGTAGTTCATAAAATAGCCAAATCAATAGTTCCCGGAAATGTCATCTGAGGATGGAGCTGCACCAAGTTTAATGACGGGCCGTGAAATCAGCGCTGGAAACATGTTCAGCAGACGGACCATGGGTTTACAATTGAGTCTCACTCTGCAACTTTATCCCTTTTTTAAAAAAAAGCTCAACTGACCTGTAAGGGAGAGGATACCCTCTTTTCCCGCCAGACAATCTCAAACTGACTGAAAGCTGAATGTGAAAGAAACCCTTTTTTTTTTTTTACAACTACATGAGTCATTGAGGAGAAGGGGAAGTTGTGCCCTTTGAACTGTGGCTGCACACTCCGAAAGGAAGGGCAACTGAGAGTGAGCAAGCATGAGTCATGCTGAGAAGATCTACGCAAGGGGCGAAAAGTTAAAATGGCCTTAAAGGCTTTGATGAGCCTGAATCTAGAACCTGACAATTGCCATAGTAACCCGTTGTGATTATCAAAAATATAATTTAATGGCCAGGTTTTGCAGCAGATTTGGACACGGCGCTGTCTGCCAGAGCTGAAGATGCACACAGATTGCCACGGTTTCTGTTAAAATTGTAAACCCTTGGTCCATCTGCGGAGAGCGAAAATGTTGCCACTCTTTTGCAGCAGTCAACAACCTCAACAGAGAGAGAGAGAGAGAGAGAAAGGGTTTTTCTTCAAGGTTCACCACAAGCGGCTGCAGAATAAAATGATTTCTCTAGATGATTGCATGAATTAATCTACAGCTCTGACAACCTAGAAAGTGACTGACAACTGTCACCCTTTGCTCTGGTGGCCTAGTAAAACACAAGCTTCTTAAAATAGAAAGCTGCAGCTGTTCAGATCGTGCAGGGGCTCAGGGGGGAGCACTGACTGGGGGGAAACTGCATGGCCCAAGCAGTGAGGCTAAAACTAAGTGTTTGTGTGCATCAGCAGCGCCATGTGATGTTGCACATGCATAGAACTGTGTTGCCAGAGAGCAGTGAAGACCCCCCTCTGTGGAAACGGTGCATAGAAGGAAATCAGGTTTTGTTGCACTGCTTTGGAGCAACAACAAAAACACACAAGTGCTAATTACAGGGCGACCATGATGTGTGAGCACACTGGCATCATGAGGTGAGGGATCATCGTGACGCATCACTAGTGCAACCTTACACAAGCCCGGGCTTTAGCTCTATAATCACACTAACACGTTCAATTGTCTTAAAAATAAATGTCGAGCGCCATTAGCCGCACTAATCCGTCGCCGAATCCTAATTTATAAACCAGCCCCGTGTGTGTGTGCGAGGCTCGAACAGCAGCTTGACGTTCATGCGGCCTGGCTGCACGATGAGGAGACATGGAGAAGGAGAAAACATGCCCGATGAGGAGGACTCTTCGCGGACCCCCTCCCCTCCACATCACTTTCCTTGTACCAGCCAGATCAGCGCTATTTACGAGACACCCTTTGTTGCAGAGGACGGATTATCCAGTCACTAATACCATGTCCCCGTGCAACGAGCCAACGGTGCACACTGCATGGCACAAGTGTGGCGGCTGCATGGCTCGTAAACAATCACCACGGATCGATCCCGCTTGTAAACACGATCAATAACACGTCACATGCCTTCCATCTGACTGGGGCGTTAAGAAACATCCTCCAGCCGCGAGACGAGCCCCGTGTGGAGGCTCCGATCGTCGCCCGGTGCGTCTCTGCGGGGTAAACAAAACTTTTTGTCAGTGTCAGTGCGGCCACCGTGGAGCGTGCACCGCGGAGCACGAAAAAACAACGCCGTCAGCAGGTATCGACACCGCGGCTCCAGCCCCCCCACCCCCGAGTCTGCCCTCTTCCTACTTACCGTCATGAAAGCTGCTACTCGCGGCAGCTCGAGCCCGCAGGATCGCACCCTCTGCCGCGGCGAGCAGCTGCGCACAGGCCCGCACAAAACCGAGCGACCCGCGACGATGACTGCATGCATCACATCCCCAAAGGTTGACTCATGCTATGCTGCTGACCTCACTCATCGCTGGTACTTTTGTATCCCCCCCTACACCCCTCCTCCTGGAAGTCAAGAGGGGAAAAGAAGGGGGTCGACGTCGGTGCGTAAACAGGATCCTTCCCGGTTGGAGACGCGGCGCTAATGTGCACGAACGCCGCGATGCCGCCGCTGTCTGCTGCGCGTTATTGCACAAGGGTTGCACGGTGTAAGGAAAAAAAAAACAAAAAAAAAAACACACGCACACTCACTGGCGATGCGGCCTTTTCGATGTGCGACTCAGTCTGTGTCTCTGCTTGTCTTGTGACCCCCCCCCCCCTTCAACTTCCATAGCCACAATCTCGGAGGCCACACCCACTTCCATGGCCATATAAGGCCTTCCTCTGACACGCACCGCGCCGTAATTTACGGAGCAAAGTCCCCATCAGTCCATGCGGGAAATTCCTGCACACAT